CTTCTGGTGCGTTTTGAGGTTGTCTTGTTGCATCTTCTGCAATAAAAATGTGTGCCCACGTTTTTTCTCGATTTCTCAAAACGACAATTTTCATGTGCTTCCCATTATGCCGGAGCAATATCTCTTGTTCTATCTGGGTTATCATTACGATTTCTTTTTTGTTTCGAAGATAAATGCAGGGGATGTGTCGTAAAGTAAGTTTTATTGTAATAATTTTTGGAGAAAATTCTCTAAATGGATCTTTTGTTTCAAGTGTAGATGGGGAAATTTTTCATGTCATATTCAACATCCCACAACTTTGCTTCGAAATAGCCCAGAACAATGATTTATACTTTATTGCACACTGTGAACATACCGAAATGGTTCTATAGGTTGCACATCAATATCCGAGTTACAGTTAATTAGGCCTTAATTGAAAAAGTCGCAGTTCATTATATCTTTAAAACTAATTGTCACAGCAAAAAAAGAATTAGATTTTTGAAATCAGCAGTAAAATCTACATAGGCTCTCCAAACTTGACTGAGGTACTCGCAAAAATAAAAGAGTTTTTTGGAAGGTGTAGCATCCCCCCTTAAACAGGAGCTACCGTGTTCATTTCGGTCTCTTATGGAAGGGTCACTCTTCATCTTTTATGGAAGGGTCATTCTTCATCTTCAATTTCCCGCCACCGCTGGCTCACCTTGCCGATTGTTTTTTAGTGAAAACGCATCGAGAAGCACTAGCGTGCAATTCAATTGGCTGCTTGGGGCACGTGACAAAACCTAGGCAACCGATTGGCCGAGGGATGCTTTCGGCGTCTGCTTTACCATCGTGACGCGCACGGACATGCGCCATTTTGTAATCGTGCTACCGACTGCCTGCGGCAGTTAAAGAAGTTCCGTGCTACAGTAATTTGTGAAGCGAGTGTGGCGGTCGTTCGTTAGCTGTGAACTTCAGAAAGAGCCCCGCTATGGCTCAGGACAACGAGGATAAAGAACTCGACACGGTCAACGGCGGTCGCCAAGTCACCGGTGTAGGCCTAACTCACGTTCGAGCCCGTTGGTTGCCGACGTTACCGAAAACAAGCGCACAAAAAGCAAATGTTTTAAGGTCGTTTCGAGGCCCTTGATTGGCTGTGGCTGGCTGTATGATGATGTGTTTCACGGCTAGAGTGGCAAAAGAGCATGTATGAATCAAGGGCACGAATTTTTATATGCCGTTTCGCATCATTTTTTATCCTGCTAAAAATGCCTGTGCCACCAGTCTTCTCATAAATCTTATTTGGAAAGAAGGCATAGGCCGTCATGGAGTGATCCATTTTTCTGATGCAATAAACCTCTCTCCAAATAAAGAAATGTTCAGCAATTATTAGTAATCAAGTACTTAATTATGCTAATTACAACTTCAGTACAAGAAATATGTGTAATAATTTCAGTATACGGTCTTATTCAATTACCATCTTTTCTGTCATGCCTATCACACCACTCCTTCATATTAAGAAATTGGTTTGAAATCAATACTTGTTCTTTATAAAACACGAAAAGGAGGTTATGGGGGGAAAAAAAGGGCAACCAAGGCACACTGGTCAGAGACCAGATACCTGAGAAGTCAAATATCACAAGACAATCTTACGATCACAATCTTTAAGTGTTTTAGAGACGTAAAAGGAAGTTGAAACTTTAAACGCAGTTTTCTCAATACTGTTTTTTTGGCATTATGCTCAGCTCGTGGAGCAGATATCTGGGCAACCACTGTACAGATTTTGATTCCGTTTATTTTGTAATGCTCTTTGAACTGTGCTTCAGGGAGCTGCGATCTTAGTTTTTCATTTTACTCATTAAAGAATTTTTTATAGGGTTTCTTGTTTGTAGTGCAAGTGTACACACTGCAGTGTCGCCGGAGAAAACGTTAACCACAAGTTTTAGTGTTGCAAAAAAATTATTTTGAGAATTCAGCCCCCTCCTACATACCGTATTTACTTGCATAATCCTCGCACTTTTTTTACCAGAAAACCGATGCAAAGTTGAGGGGGTGCGAGAATTACGCGGGGAAAACCTTCCACAAAAACGCAGAGAGCGAAAAAGAAAACGAAGTGGCCGCAAGTCGGGATCCTCACATTAGCAACTTACAGCAAGCTTAAAAAGTACTAATTAGAACATACCTCAACAATAAAAGCAGAGGTTCAACACAAGGCAAGATTTATTTGAGACACAAAAAGTGGAAGCAAATAGTCGAGAATTAGAATACCATACGCGAAGCTTGTGGGCGTTGCGGGCGTAGCGGCAGCGGTCGGCGCTCAACAGGAGCCCTCAAAAGGCAAGTGTAGGACGTCAGTATTGGGCTGATGGCTATTTGACAGAATCGTCCGCAGTTTCCTTCTGAAGAAATAAAGTTTACCATCAATCCCAGTTTCAGGCACACGGCAGGCACAACGCGTCTTGGTGGCTTTCAGCTGCCGTCACCAGTAGCTAACAAAACTCGTAGGCTCCGAAGGGCCTACCGGCGGCTCTGTTGCCGTTGTTTAGTGCATGATCCATCACTTGCAACTTCAACCAGCCGTGTAGCTTCAGTATCGCCCCATAAAGTGCCAACATTACCGACACAACAAACAAAACTCCGCCGCAACGCGCACTGGCCACTTCGGCTTGGCTTGGATTGAATCTCCGTGCAATAGTACGCTTGATGCATGGCGTGCGCTATCATCATGAGTGGTTGGAATGAGCAGACGACATTATTGCGGCAGTTTTCGGGGATGCGATAATTACTCGAGGAAAAAAAAATATCGTATTTTTCTTGGGCGATGGGGGTGCGAGAGAATTATGCGAGTGCGAGGATTACGCGAGTAAATACGGTACATTTGGCTGTGCGTACAGTAATTGCCAACAATTTTTGTCATTTTATAAATTCTTCAGCCCCTCCACGAGGTTCAATTGAAAAATGTTTCTCGTTAAGTATTTGTGCTATCGCCTTGAAATATTTATGAATGCACGGTGAGGCCATTCTTAGTGTCTGTGCCAATTTTCACCATCATCCGACCAGAAACAAGAAAGTTCATTGTCAAAGGCAATAACAGCTCCCCTTAAGTGGGGCTGTTATATGTGGGCTTGACTGTACATGCTATTGCCAGTATAATTCAGCTAGGCTTACCATGCAAAATGTCCAAATAGATGCCTTGTGCACTACAATGCACTGTGCCCTTTGTTTCCCAAATGTGAAAGACCCTAATGGTATGAAGGGCATGTCTACCTTTCAAAACTCAAGGGGACATCAACTTGAGCTGCCAACACTCCCCTCGGATAACTAACCAGTCATTCAGCAAGCAACGCTCAGGAGAACGAAAGTCGTAATGAAATTCGTCATTGGAGAGGTACCAGCATTCAAGTTGTGACAGACCCCCCTGGAGACAGTGCAAATGTGATGCAACTAATGCACACCCAAATCACCCAAATCTGCACCCAAATCTGAGCAAATATGCCTCACCATCTTCGGCTCCAGACCTTAGAGTTTGATGCAAAGAAATTTAGAAAAAAAAAAAAAAAAGCTAACACCCTAAATTCGAATAAATATGATAGCACAAATAGAACCACATTTGCTTGTCCCCAAGAACATGCCAGCATGAAGCATGGTATCATTGGGGATTTTTCTTAGGCTTTTCAAATCCAAATAAACTTTCACGGTTTGACCACTTTTTCAGAGTGTTCGACTTTTCGAACTACCGTATTTACTCTATTCTACTGCGCCCTCCATTGTAACGCGCACTCAATTTTCACGTCGAAAAAAAAAAAAGTAAGACACGATTGCAACGCGCACCCATTTTTCTCGTTGGCCCGCACGATCACACTACTCGGGAAAACGAAGGTACGGGGGAAGCTTGTGCCTATCTGACGTGCAACGGAGCATTGCCGTCACTCGTTTTACCGTGGCCCGATGTCAGCATGCAAACTTGCTTCGCCCCCTTCTTCTCGACGGTTGTGGTGCCAGGCATGTCGAAGTAAAGAGGCGTCTGATCGGCATTCCCGATTTGCCCAAGCAGGTAGCCGTTGTTGTGCCGCAAGTTTAGGACGAACCTCTGAAAACTGTGAAGCTTTTCTTCGTACTCTTCCGGCAAGTTTTGGTGCATGCCCGTTCGCTTTCGGAGGGAAAAACCTTTCCTCTTCATAAAGTTAGTTAGCCAGCACCCGCTCGCTTTGAACTGGCTCCGCGTTATCCCTTTTTCTAAAGCTAACTGCATAGCCTGCACTTAGAGCAGTTCTGTCGTCACGGGCCGCTGTGCCGCTCGCTGCTCAAACACATACTTGGCGAGCAGCTCTTCAATTTGCGGAAACCGGCCCTGCTGTGGTCCACTGAAGCCTTTGCATGAATCTGACAATCTGCTTTTGTTTCCGCCAGTCCCACACGCACGTTTCGGGAACTCCGAACGACCGCGATGCGGCCCTGATTTGCGTCTGTTTCGGCACATGCGATGACTTTTCTTTTAAAAGCGGCATCGTGGTGCACTCGTCGAGTTTCTGGAGTCGGCCCTTCCATGCCGTCGATGCTAATGAACTACAAAATGACAAACTCCTCAGCACACGTACAAAGTCCTGCACATGGGAAACACATAGGCAGAAATGGCAAACGCGCCATGCCGAAGCACGTAGAGGGCGGCCATTTTGGAAATGCCTATGGCAATAGAACGACCGTATTCATTTTTTTTTTCGCACTCGATTTTAACGCGCATGCGATTTATGAACTCGCTTAACCGGAAAAAAGGCGCACGTTAGATTCGAGTAATTACGGTATTTCATGGTCCCCCCCTGGTTTGGAAAATTGATCAGCGTGCCACGAGACCCACTCTTGGAGTTTCTAATGGGTGGTGCAGCAGTGATTGCTGTAGTGCATCCAAATATTTATGACACCAAGTGTCAAGCCTTTTTATGAGTCGAGAAACCGGAAAAATTCCAAGTTGCCATATTAAGCAACCAAAGGCAAACCTGCTACAGTTATGCTTCTCCACTGCCCTACCTCAGATGAGCACTCACCCCAACAGCAGCCTTGATGGATTCTGTGGCTTGCTGGTTGTACTGGGCTACACTGATGGACTCGTGTGGAGACTCCTTCAACAGTTGTATGATGCTCGCCGTGTCGGGTGCTGGCGGAGGTATCGCAGCAGCTCCACTAGCCGTGAACACTTTAGTTTCCAACTGTCCGGTCCAGTCCTCCTCACTCCAGTCTTCACTGACTGCCAGGTCATTCCAGTTACCTGAGTGGAATTGGGAGCAGTGAATTGAGTCACATGCCAGTAACTCTTTAATATCACACTCGTGCAAATGAACAGGGGAGGGGGATCATGGACTAGAAACAATCAGAATGGCACCACTGAAAATATTTGCAACAACAGCAAGTCATAAAACAGCAAATAATTCTGTCGCCTTATCTTTCTCATAATAAAAAAAAAAAAACCTGCCGGGTTGGTTCTTTTGCCTGCCAAAAGTTCGCACTCTGCAAATTCTTATACAGTTGACTCCTCTTAAACGGAACTCAAAGGGGATCCATAAAACTGTTCCATTTATCAGAAGTTTATTTAAGCAAAGTACACTTATTCAGTGAACCAAGACCTTCATTCAAATTGCACAAAACTCACCTTACTCATGAGAATGAGTAGGAAAAAAAAGGAGTGAAGAGTGGTTTGTTTGGCAAGATTGAGCTGTTTTTTTCACAAGGTGCGCACACATGCCTAACAAACTAGCTAGAAATTCTGGACAAGCCTCATGCTCAAAATAGCGCTGCATAAGTTCAACAGCCTCTTTACTGATCGATCAGTGTGGTGGCACCACTGCACTGACAGTATTGTCATCACATTCATCGCTGAAAGGTTGATCCTCATCTTGCACTTCGGCAATCATTTCCACGACAGTCTCTTCAAGACAGGTACAAACATTTTGATCAATTGATTCGTAGTGCTACAGTGTGAAAGGGGCAGAGGGCATGACTTGACTGCATACTGTCTCAATGTCGGCATCAGCAGGGCTTTCTTCTTCATCAAGTACTGCTTTCTTGCGCTTGAAAGCCAGCATGGTGAAAGCACCTGTGTATTGTTGTTGCCTTCACTTGCTGCCAGGCATAAGCCAAAATGTGGATGGCTGCCAATAAATCTATGCTGTAGCATTTCCCGCTGCCTACTCTACGCAGCATTTGATGGAGCAATTGTCTGCGGTAAAGAACTTTAATATTCTCAATAACCCCTTGATCCGTCGGCTGGAAAGAACTCCAGAGTGATGCCTTGGAGTACTTGAACCTGACTGTGGGCTGGGCAATTATCCACGATAAAGTCAACCTTCCTGCCTTGCCTCGTGAATTTTGCGTCCCAAAACCAGTTTTCGAAGCTATCGAACGCGTTTAAAACAACGTGGGTGCCTTCATTTTCCTATTACCAACAGCTTCAATTGCTTATCTCCTGCCATGTTTGCACCCACCAGCACAGTGATGCGATCTTTACTGTGTTTTCCTCCACTACAGGCTTCGCCTTTGAAGGTGAGAGTCTTTGATAGAAGCGCCTTATAAAAAAGACCCATCTCGTCGACGATGAAGACGTCTCGTGGCTCAAAACTCATCAAAATTTCCTTAGGCCGTGCCTGATGCCAGTCGGTGCAAATGTCCCTTTTGACTGCATTACTCTCACCTGAGAGTGATGCAGTCCACCCGTGATGCAACACCCGTTTGCATGGCGATCTCTCGAGCTTTCTACTCGAGAATCTGTCCCCTTATAGGGAAATTGAAACTTTGTGCACGCTTGAACCACAGAAAAAGAACTATTCTAGTAGTTCATAAGGCGTCATCCGTATTCGATTAGATGTAAAGGTCCCGTTCTTAACAGTGCCTTCAATCTTTTCTCCGTCTTTCCAGATCCGCCACAGCGTCGATTTCTGGATGCATTTTTTTCGCCACCTCCCATGATTGCGCAGGCCGCCTCAATCGAGCTCCTGAAGAATTTGGAGCTTTTTTCAAGCGAGAGTGCAAGAAGCGGCCGCTTCCTTTCCATAGGGCTAAAGTAACAACATGATCCACCGCACTTAGCCGCACAAATAGGCCTAACGCATAATTGACTCGCCAACTCTGCTCCCACAGCCACAAGCGAGAATGGCAACTGGATTAGCTTGTCTCTATCTCAAGGTGTTGCCATGGTTGTGAGACTATCTTTTACATGAGTGAGTCTATGCTGTGTTTAGAGTTTGTGCCATTTAATCGTAGGTGACCAATAGGCACTGTTTGGATTAACAGATGAATTTTACTGTGCAACACATAGAAATCCAGCCATATGAGCCGTTTAGTTCCATTAATGAGGCATTTTTCGTTTAAGCAAGCTTCGTTTAGTGGAAGTCCATTGTAACGAGCTCCTTATGCAGAGTGCATTCTTTATTTTCTATTCTTTCCGCGCGTGAAAAACAGCATCAAGGCTACCTATACTCACTAAGGAGGACAGGACTTTATTGTCGCAAAAAATCGCAAAAAAAAAAAAACTATTTTTCGAAAATCATGTCAGTTTCTGAAACCCTTTTCTATTCGATATAAGCAAAATATCTGCACTGAAAACCATGCAGAAGTGCTTCAAAAAGTTTGTATCACCCTCCTAGGCAGCAAGAATTGTGAAAATTAAAAGAAAAAAAGCGATTTTGAAAAAAAGATTATAGCTTCGCGATGGCACAGTTGGGAACCTGCTTCTTGGACTCATAGAAAAAAAGCATTGTCTCGTGTTCTTCAGCTCACTCCTCCAGCCAGAAAGAACCACGCAAAGCGCGAATATTTGAGAAGACGCTACGAGGCCTCATATTGGTTGCGTCCGCCATGTTGCCCCAGCTTGCCTCTCCATTAGCCCGATACTCGCTCCGGTAAATCGGCGTATGCTGCTTGTGCGTTGCGAGGACACAAGCTGTCGAAAATCGCTATTTCGTCACGTGTTCACGGCCCTACGATCACTTAGGATATAATTATTCTTTAGTTAGGAGCTGTAAGCCGATGCTCGATCAGATTACTATGGGGCACTGCACGCCGCGCAATCGCAGGCGTCCTCAGGCCTAAGTCCGCCGACGGGGTAGACGAACCTTGAACTTTGCCGGCAAGAACAACGCACTAGTGCACTTGTGGCAGTTTTCTGCCATGTGAACATTAAACGTTGTTTCTTAATGCTGTTTTTGGGCATTAGGCCCAGCTCGTGGAGGAGATATTTAGGCAACCACTTCAGACATTTTGATTCTGTTTGTGTCTGTAAATGGTCCTAGTCACTCCAGGCCGGCGGTGCCAACAACAGTACCAGCTCGGAGACGTTCGTTGTAAGTGCGATTTTTGTGCCATTGAAACAACGTATATTTTGACAGTCACGTAGATACTGTTCGTCTTAAGTGGGGTGTTATACGTGGGCCCAACTGTACTTGCATTACCTTATAAACCCTCAAGCCCTCTACGAGGTTCAAGGGTGGCGCGCTGGTCGCCGAAGAGAGCGGATGCGCATCACGTCGGCTCCGTCTTTCAAGAACTATTTGCCAGTGATTTTCGGTCATTCAGCCCATGAATTTTACAACAACGCGTGCGGAAAGTCACCAGGATTCCACTGAGACTAAATAAAATTCAAGGTTGGAAAGGACTTTTTGCCGGATTCGAGAGGTTTTCAACCCGCGCCCGTTTGGCGCGACGCCCACGCAAGCCGGCCACCCGACGAGACGCGCTAAGCGTCTCCTTTGACGCGGGCGCTTTCTTCGCCCATCAACGATGAAAGTCCAAGTGAACGGGGAGGATATCTCCCCCGAAGAGTTTCTGGAGGGCACGGATTGGTGCACCATCGGATCTAAAACCCAAGTTAACCGCGCAAACGCGCAGAGCAACACCCAGAACGGAGCCCCCTCCTTCACCGGCGAGGGAGCGGACTGCAACCGACAGCGTTCGCGTCGTCAACCGCGTAACATCAAGCAGCAAGTCATCAGAAACAGCAAAATGCCACTACTCCCACGGAGCGATTTCAAGATCGTGATACGACCACGAGGAGGCCTCGACGTGGCCACCACTGGAACCGTGCGCCTCGCATCGGCGATTTACCGCGCAGCCAACGTACCGGCTCATGAAGCAGGGGAGGACACTGTGTGCTCCAACAACCATCAAAACATCATCGTCGTGAGCACACCCCATGCCTCTCACGCCGATAAGTACAGACAGCTTCAAGCCATCACCATCGGCGACCGCCACCACAAGGTCAGTGCGTACGAGACGGCCCCCGACAACACCGGTGAAGGGAATAATCAAGGGCATCCCGTTGGACGAAGACGCCAAGTCCATTCACACCAGCATAGTTTACGCTCGTAACCCTTACACCCTGGCAGCCAAACGGCTCAGTAACGCCACGACCGTCATAGTAGAGTTTGAAGGACCGCAAGTGCCCACTTACGTCAGGTACGGCGGCGCTCTCCTTCGCTGCACCTTGTATCGCAAGCAAGTCGACATGTGTCACTGCTGCGGGAGACTTGGTCACAGCATGGACATGTGCCCAAAGCCCAAGGGCAAAGTGTGTCGTGGTTGTGACGCCCCTAACCCAGGCCCCAACCACCAGTGTTTCCCCCATTGCAAGCTGTGCGGGGGCGCACACATGATGGCGGACCGCTACTGCCGTGCAAGGTACCAAACGGCCTACATTGTGACGAAGAGACAATGGGAACGACGCAGGGCCACTGAGGCAGAGGCCACTGCCACTAACTATTCCACCAGCAAGCCCCGCTCAAGATCCAGGACACCTAGACGAAGCCACTCCCGATCTCGTAGCCGCACACCGGGACCCCGAAAGCAGCAGCAACGCCGAGCTCGCAGCCGAACACCTGGACGGACACCAACGAGGGACGCCAAGGCAACTGATTCGGTGAGCTTTGCAGATGCGGTCAAAAGAAAACGTGCAACAAACGCGGAGGCTGGCGGCAAAACACACACTAAGATAGAGGCGGAGATAGCTCAGCTAACACAGACAATACAAACTATACAAAAGCAAATGGAATGCACGCAGGCACAGATTCACACAAAAAACGAACTCGTACAAAAGCTCCAGTCTGCCGCTCACAGCGAGATTGATCAACAGGTAATGCAGGAAACACAAGAAGAACTCATAGAAAACGGTGAGGGCGAAGGCCCTGATACTAAATGCGGACCAGCTATCTCCCTTAAGGGGGGAGGTGGCATTGAAAAAAAACTTTTTTATTTGTTGACCTACAGCAATGAAATTTGGCA